CATGCAAACTCATGAACATACACTCAAAGATTAAAAAGAATTATTCTTGTCTAATTGAAATTTTGTACATCTTAAAGATTTTTATGCATTTATGCCATGCATCTTGGATGTGTCCATTCCTTCTCCTCTCCCCCCACCCCCATTCCCTCACCCCCAAACAATATTCCATCTCTATCCAAACTCTGTGGGTTTTGTTAGTAATCTACAAATTCCAATTAGTTCTGCCCATGTGTGCCCCTGTGTGTGCTCATATACATGGGGCATGGGCAACCTACCCAAAGCCACTAACCACACAAAGAAAAGTGGCTTTCACTACCTCAGGAGCCACCAATTGTCATTAGCTCCTCAGCTGGGGGTGAGACATCAGGACCCAGTCCTTGCTTCATGTTAGAATTTTTAACTCTCTTGATCTTGTGATGGTCTTGTGTGGGTAACCACAGGTATGACGTGTTTGTGTGTGTAACAGCCACATAACCTCCTGAAACCTGCCTTTCATAGCACTCCCCCACTCCCTGGTCCCCTCAACCACACTGCTCCCTGAGCCTTGGGGGTGGGCTTGGGGTGGGATGGAGGCTTGGTGTAGACTTTCTATCTATGGCTGAGCTCTGACTGCCACTTATTCTCAACTTTGTCAACAGTTATGAGCTTCTGCATTTAACCACAATCTTCTCTGTCCCAAGCTGAGAGCAGCACAAATTGGTGGGTATAAACACGAAGAGTTAGGGTGTTGGAGAGATGGTTTCACAGTTAAGATCACTTGCTGTTCTTGAAAAGGACCTGTGTTCGGATCCCAGCAGCCACATAGACGCTCATGACTGTCCACAACTCCAGGTCCAGGGCTCTGATGCCCTCTTCTGGCTTCTGTGGGCACCAGGCACACATGTGGTGCCCATATATACATTCAGGCAAAACATTCACACACATAAAATAAACATTAATACATTTTTTTTTGTTTTTTGTTTTTTGTTTTTTGGAGACAGGGTTTCTCTGTGTAGCTTTGTGCTTTTCTTGGGACTCACTTGGTAGCCCAGGCTGGCCTCGAACTCACAGAGATCCGCCTGTCTCTGTCTCCCGAGTGCTGGGATTAAAGGCGTGTGCCACCACCGCCCGGTAATAAATATTTTTAAAATGTACATCTAAAATGCAGTTTGACAGCTTGGTCATTTAGTAGGTTCCCCCCTCTTCCAGGGCCTATTATCTCCCTAGTCAGGGGCTTTTGATTAAGTCTACAGTACCAGATATGGCATCCTTCCTGCTTAGCAGACCTCATATCCAATCAGATGGTTGGTTTTGAGGGCTGGTTACCCCTATAACCTTCATGCCACTACTGCCCCAGTGAACACGTCTAGTCTGACAAGTCCACATTGTAGCATGCAGGGTCCAGTGATGGGTAAGATGTCTTTTTCCCATCACTTTCTGACGTTATGAAAACTAGACAGCAGGGAGAGCTTCTTGGTCAGATCAAGATTAATTTCCCTATGTCATGCATCCAAAGTAAATGGTACTCTCGGCAGTAGGATCTTACCATCTCACTATGGTGAGTGAACAAAGGCGATGGGAACAGCCCATGCTTGGTTCTGGTGTTCTCATACATAAGCTTTATTATGTTGAATTATGTTCCTAATAGTCCTATTTTCTTCTAGCATTTATCAGGATGTGATGTTGGGCTTCATCAAATAATTTTTCTGCATCTATTTAGATGATCATGAGACTTCTGGGTTTGAGTCTATCAAGGTGATATATTATCTCTATTAGTTTATATATATATTGAACCATCCTTGCAGCCCAGGAATGAAGGCCACATAGCCATTGCTGATGTACTATTGAATTCAGTTTGTAAGTGTTTTATTAATAATATTGCATCTATGTTTATCAATGAAATTGGCTTTTAATTTTCGTTGGAGTTTTTTCTTTTTTTTTTTTGGTTTTGGTTTTTTTTTTTTTTTTTTTTTTTTTTTTTTGCTGTTGTGTCTTTCTGATTTTGGAGTCAGGGTAATACTTAATTTGTAAAAAGAACCCAGTAGCATTCCTTCATTTACTGATGTATTGTGTTTCATCTTTGGCACAATGGCTGAGCCTTGATTTTTAACTCTGCAGTTACTGGCCTGCTTCTCTGGCCTGTGGGAATTCTGTTCCAGCAGGCACTGGCTTTGCTGCTGCCACTAAAGGTAGCTTTAACCAAATCTCTATTATTCTATTTATAAATAAGACTCAAGTTTCAAAGGCTGGGGTGAAAACCTACTAGCTCAGAGAGGTTGAGCAGCACGCAGCTAACCTTCTCTCCTTGCTGGCATCTCCAAAAGAGAGTATCCTTCCACTCCACCAAACAAAAAAGCCTTGCCACTTCAAATCCCTCCCCACTACTTCCATCTCTCTAGCTCTTCCAGATGTCCTCTGATGCGCTAAGATTATTTTCTGTCAACTAGTTGCTAACTCAGCCTCCCAATCCAAGGTTAATTTTATTTAATTAACGAATACAAACTGGAGGTTCACAGTGTGATCGCATATCCCCCAACAACGTATGAAACCCTTTGAAAGTCCAGCTGTTACTTCTTTACAGAATTAGAGTGAAAACATCTGGGCTTGGACTTTTTTTTCCCATTGAGAGACCTTTTATTATCAATTCAATATAATTACTTGTTTTGAATATGTTTAAGGTATTTGTATCATCTTAGCCTAATTTTAATAAGTAATAATATGTCTAGAAATTGATCCATTTTCTTCTAGATTTTCCAGTGTATTAAAACACAAATTTTCAAAGTATGACCCAGTGATGTGAGTTTCATTGATAACTGTTGTAATGTCTCCTTTCTTACCTCTAATTCTATTAGTTTGGATCTTCTTTCACTTCCTTTTGATTAGTTTGGTTAATGTTTTCTCAATATTGTTTATAATGTCAAGATCTGATTCTGTGTTTCATTAATCCTGTTGTATTTTTATTTCTATATCATTATTTCCTGCCCCGATATTCACTATTCCTTTCCATCTAGTGATTTTAGGGTTGACTTGGTCTTATTTTTCTAAGATCTTGAAGTGTGTCATCAAGCTATTTACTTGAAATTTCTGGTGTATGGTGTGTGTGTGTGAGTGTGTATGCATGTGTATGGAGTCTAGAGGTCAACCTTGGGTATCACCCCAAAGATGCCATTTACCTTGGTTTTTTAAAGTGGGTTTCTCACTGGCCTGGAACTCATGAAGGAAGCTAGACTGACAGGCCAGTAAGTACCAAGGATCTGCCCATCTCTACCTACCTAGAGGATTACAAGCCCTCGCTACCATGCCTGTCATTATATGTGGGTAATAAGCATCAGACTCAGGTTTTTGTGCTTACATGGCAAGCACTTTCCCAACAGACCTAACTCAACAGCACCTTGAGATATATGTATACATTTATACATATAAATGTAGGCACTTGTAGCTATGAACGTTTCTTTTACAAATATTTTAATTATGTCCCAGAAGTTCTGTCTGTTTTGTTGTTGTTGTTGTTTTTGTTTTGCTTTGCTTTGAGACAAGATGTCTACGTAGCTCTTGCTGGTCTGGAACTTACTTCAGAGCCCAGACTGGCCTTGAACTCACCGAGATCCTCCTGCCTCTGCCTGGGACTAAAGGAATGTAACACCATGCCTGGCTTCTGCTTTCCTTTCATACTAGGGATTTGCATTTTTTCCTATTGATGTTCTGATGATCAACTCATCATGAAACTGTGTTCTCAAAGTGCACTGGGGTCACAGTGGTGCCCATAGCTGCCTTCAGGAGTGGGTTATTCAGTCTTCATGAGTGTTTACACTTCCCACAGTTTCTTTGCTATTGATTTCTAGTTTTATTCCATCATGATCAGATAGAATGTGAAAAGGTATTTCAAATGTCCTTCCTTCCTTCCTTCCTTCCTTCCTTCCTTCCTTCCTTCCTTCCTTCCTTCCTTCCTTTCTTTCTTTCTTTCTTTTGTTTTCTAAAGACAAGATTTCTCTGTGTATCCCTCGCTATCCTGGAACTTGTTCTGTAGACTAAGCTGACGTCAAACTTAGAGATCCATCTGCCTTTGCCTCCTGAGTGCAAAGACTGAAGGTGTACACCATCACACCCAGCTTCAGTTTCTTACATGTATTAAAACTTGCTTTGTGTCTATTTTAGAGAAAGTTCTATGTACTGCAGAGAAGAATATATATTCTGAAGTACTTGGAAGGAATATTCTAGAACATCTGCTAAGTCCATTTGCTCTACAGCACTTTTAACCCTCATGTTACTTTGTTATTTTGTAACTGAATTCTGTAACCTGTCAGCTGCTGAGAATGAATTATTACAGCTGCCCACAGTTAATGTGTTGAGGTCAGTCTTCACATCTAGTACTGTTTGTCTAAAGAAATTGCACACACCAGTGTATGATCCAGATGTGTTTAAGGTTGTGCTATTTGATGGATTGTCTCCTTAGCTAGTATGAAGTGGCCTTCTTTGTTTCTTCTAAGTTTGGTTTGAAGTCTGCTTTGTCAAGGATTGGTACAGCCACACCTGTCTGCTCCTCGGTCTCAGTTTCTTGGGACACCTTCCATTCTCTTCCCATAGGTTGTGCTGATTTTTGCCAGTCAAGTGCATTTCCTGCTGACAACAAGGGATGGGTCCCATTTTAAAGCCAATCTGCTAGAGTGTGTCTTTTTTTTTTTACTATAATAATAAAATAGTTTATTTCATTATTGGCCTATCATTTACTCCATTTTAATAACTTCTTAAAACTGTCATCTTTCAGTATAATTCGAATTACACACAACCTTCCTGGACAAGACATGAAACCATTTTTGCTTCCAGGGGATTTATTTATCCCTTTATAACCTGAGGGGAGAAAACCATAAACATCCATGGCCAAAGAATGGCAGCTCATGTTGTCACAGTCTTCTTAGTATGTCCTATAATGAAGTGCTTCCTTGTCCACGGCTGCCAAGAATATCCACCACCACAAGGCTGGTTTTTTTCTGCCTTGCAGCTATTTAAAAAAAAAAGCTGGTGCTTTCAAACAACTCGGTGGGACTTCCCTCTGGGGTCTGCCAGGACAACTACACCCCAGCAGGCAATACTGATGCCGACGACCATCTGCGCTATGGCTCCTGGATTCAGCGGCATTCCCTGCTTCATGGGCCTCCTGGCCAGCAGGTAGACGTAGGCACCCGCCCCCAAGAGCGCAGACCCAGAAAGCAAGCGACAGCTCCAGCAGTTTTTAAAAGCAGAGTCCTGTGCGAGGGTGGCCGGCGCGGAGGCTTTCGCAGGTGGGTTCGCGGGGGCAGCTATGGATGAAGACCGGGATGCTCGGCACTCCCCGACTACGAGGACCCCATGTCAGAAGGGTGAACTGTGGTGGTATTTTACTTGTACTGAAATGTGATTTTAATTGTATGTTAATAAATAAAGTTGCCTGGGGGTCAGAGCTATTAGAGCCATAGCAAGTGCATGATGGCGGTGGCGCATGCCTTTAAGGACCTGGAGGGTGGTATATTCAGGCAGTGACGAGGCAGTCACATGTTTGGGTTTACAACCAATGAGAAGGCAGAACAGCTAGAGTATATAAAGACATATACACAGGTAGTAGGCCCCTTGCGGAGAGCTCTCTTGGCTGAAGAGGATCCCTGAATCAGGAAGGGTGAGGCTCTTAGCTCTGACCTCTTGGCTTTCTTCTCTGAATCGGCTCTGTATTTCTTATTTAATAAGACGGTTGGTTACATCTACAGAACCTTTGCTTTGAACTCAAGTGTGTCTTTTGATTGGAGAACCGAGACCCTTAGAATCCAGTTATTAACAGGTCATGTGGTGCATGCCTGTAATGACTGTATGTGGGAGGCAGAGGAAAGAAGATCACTCCAAGTTCAAAGCCAGCATGAGCAACAGTGACTTTTTTAAATTTATTCATTTTTACCTCTTTATGTGCATTGGTATTTTGCCGTGGGTGTCAGGTACCCTGGAACTAGAGCAAGAGACAGTTGAGAGCTGCCATGTGGGTGTTGGGACTTGAACTCGGGTCCTCTAGGAAGAGCGGTCAATGCTCTTAGCCACTGAGCCATCTCTCCAATTCTGAAACAGTGATTTTTTTTCCAGGACTCAGTTAGGGCTATATATTGGGACTTTATCTTAAAAAAACAAAAACAAACAAAGAATTTAGTTATTAGTCAAAGGTGGTTTTAAAAATGTGACTTCATAGCATGCTCTATGCTAGTTATGCTGTTTTCTAATTACCAGTGATTGTAGGTGATAATAGCTCATTTGAAGTATGTTTCTATGCCCTTAGCACTTGGACACTGTTGCTGTTAGAGCATGGGTTTGTTTCTTCTCACTGAGTGGGACTGGGGACCGGGGCATCAAGAGTCTGCTGCTGGTCAATAACAAGACTCCCCGCCGGGCGGTGGTGGCGGCGCACGCCTTTAATCCCAGCACTCGGGAGGCAGAGGCAGGCGGATCTCTGTGAGTTTGAGGCCAGCCTGGTCTCCAAAGTGAGTTCCAGGAAAGACGCAAAGCTGCACAGAGAAACCTTGTCTCGAAAAACCAAAAATAAATAAATAAATAAATAATAAAAAAATAAAAAAGACTCCCAAATAACACAGGAAGAGATACCAAAACCAATAGGCAGACAGAGCACAACACAAGAAACAGGAAAACACCAAGGCAGCATGACTCCTCCAAAAGTCCCCAACCTCTTAGCTGCTGAATTAAAGATGTTGAAACCGGTCAGAGGACAGACAGTTACTAAATGGAGCTGCAGAGATGGGTAAGTGGGTAAGGGCACTTACTTGCTAAGCAGGCTTGAAGACCTGGGTTCGGATCCCCGGCACCCATGTGAAAAGCTGGGGTGGCCCGGCTTGCTGTGGCACACCTGTTACCCCAGTGCTGAGGTAGGGTGAAGACAGGAGGATTGCTGGAACTTGCTGGCTGCCAGCCTAGCTGAAAAATCTGTACACTCCAGGTTTGGTGAAATAATCAGTGTCCTCAGAAATGACACAAAAGAGCCCATGACTTCAGTTCATGACCTGGAGAGGGAAATCAGCAGCACACATGACAAAGTCAGCGATGTGGATGAGCAAGTCAGCAACTCTCACATACAGTGTGTGCTCACCCACACATGCACATGCACATGAATGCAAAACAAACCTTTAAAAAGTCCAGTCTGGCAATATTTACCTGTTAATTGACATGTACAGTTATTAATGACATATGAAGATTCATTTCAATAATCTTAAGCTTTTTAAGAATCTTACTGAATTATTCAAAGATTCTGTGCTTGCAAATTCACCTGCTCACTAAAATTATCTGTCACTCTGGTACCAATGTTTTGGCAGTCAGTTTTGGCAGGGATGTATTCAGAGTGGCGAACAAATCTCCCAATGCTTAGTTTACATCTGCTGATACTTCATTGGCCAAAGTTGGTGAGGCAGAGCTACACATTCCTTCCACAGGTTCCAGAAATCAAAGGACAAAGTGTAGTCCTCTTGTGGAATGAATAATTGTGACAATCAATAAGTGTTATTACTTTCTTTTTAACTTCATATATATATGTGTGTGTGTATATATATATCTATATATATATATAGATATAGATATAGATATATCTCACATATAAATGTGTGTGTATGCATGTGCATGAGAAAATACCACTGTCTATCCTGATTGAGATGACTCTACCCTGGGACATTCTCCCTGTAGATGACCAGCTCATTTGATTAGGGCTTCATGGCCTCATTAGACCATCCCTGGAAATCAGCGCCCTTTTTGGTCCGCTTAGCTTAGTTCATGACACCCTGCTCTGGAAATGTCCTCAGCGTGTAACCTGGCCATTGTTCCTAACAGTGGGCCATCTTGGCAGCCATACATTCTCAGTCTTCTTGGGCTCTGTCACTCCACACCTGCCTGCACAGCCTTTGGACCTTGCTGAGGTTCCATTGCATTTCCTGGTCCTGGTCTCCCACACACACCCTGACAGGCACCCTCCTTCAGCTACCACACTCCTCCTCTGACGTGAAGAACTTTCTGTCCAGAGCTCAGCTTCTTCCCTAGGCTGCTCTTCTGCATGAACACCTTCCTCACATGATTCAGGAGCTCATCCTGTGCCAGGCTGTCCCCTTTGTCCCCCACCTCAGGTGGATGCTTTTCTCCTTGTCCTCAGGGCAACTTGCCCTGGGCGCTGTTTCCTGCCCCTGCACTGGGCATTCTCCATATCTGACTGGTTCTGCTCTGGCCGGCCACCTACGCAGACACCCTCTGAGCGGTCCCAGGCCTGACGCCCACATTGGGCCCCTGGTGCCCATCTCCCTGGGGCAGAAACCTACCTTGATCTGCCCTATCTAATGGCTTTAGGCTTGACTAGTTCTGTATCTGAGAAAAATAAAAAGGCAGAAAGCCATTTCTGAGAACATATGTGAAAAATAATGCTAAAATATTCATTAAAGATTAATGTTCAACCGAACAAATGTATGAAGCTCACCCACTAAACTATCACTGAGGTCAAAAGAAAGAAAAAGAAATCATTCCGCACCTGAAACGACTTGTAGCCTTCCAGATCTCATCTTCTCACATCCTCCCAAAGATTCTTACAATAACTCATAATAATATAATAACCTCTTTGATCTTTTCTTCATATATTCAAAATCACACATATATGTATATATATATATGTATGTGTGTATGTATATATATGTGTATATATATATATATATATATATATATATATGTTTTTTGACAGACAGGATTTCACTATGTAGTTCTGACTGTCCTGACTTAACTCTGTAGACTAGGCTGGCCTCGAACTCACAGAGATCTGCCTGGCTCTGCTTCCAGAGTGCTGGGATTAAAGGTGTGCACCACCATGTTCGACCAGCCATACGTTTCTTATTATTATCATCATCTTCTTCTGTTCTGTATAAACAGAGTCATTTGGAAAATATTCTTTTGTTTCTATGTGTGTCATTTTTATTCCTGTGCCATGTATTGTATCAATACCCACAATATCTCTATTCTGCCATCTAGATTGTTTACAGTTATTTTCACATGTGCATGAGTGTGCCGGCACGCATGTGTGTATGCATGTTTGCATGTGCAAGTGAACAGGTGCGAGAGTGTGTGTGCTTATGGAGGCCAGAAGTTGACACTGATGTCCTCCTCAGTCATTCTCCACCTTATATACTGAACAGGGTATCTCAGTTGATCCTCACCAATTCATCTAGGCTAACTACGCAGCTTGATCCACAGATCCATCATCTCTGCCTCCAAAGCACTGGGATCACAAGCAGGACACCATACCCCACCCAGCATTTGTATGAGTGCTGGGGGTTCACACTCCAGTCTTCACACTTGTTCAGCCAGTGTCTCACCTCGAAGTCATCTCCCAGTCTCAGGCTGCTTACATTTCTTCCGTATACCAAATTCTTGAATTCTGTGAGCAAGCGTGCATGCGTGCATGCGTGCGTGCGTGTGTGTGTGTGTGTGTGTGTGTGTGTGTGTTACACAGGTGGGGGTTCTTGCAGGTTTTTGCAGCGGAGTCCAGAATAGGTAGGTCGCATGCACGGTTTTTGTATCTTCAGCTTCTGGATGCCAAACTGTCTCCCGAAGTGTTTATGAGTTTGCTGGCTGCGGCTGACAGTTGAAGGTTCTATTGTTCCATTTCTACGGCATCTGTCAGGATCTTTTCATGTTTACCACCCTTGTAAGAGTATAGACACAGCCCAGAGTGGTGGAGCACGCCTTTAATCCCAGCACTTGGAAAGCAGAGGTAGGCAGATCTCTGTAAGTTCAAGGCCAGCCTAGTCTACATACCAAGTTCTAAGCCAGCCGGGGCTACATAGAGAAACCTTGCCTCAAAAACAGTAGACACATACATAATTATGGATGTAATTTGAATTTTTAATATCAGTGAAGCTAAGTCCCTTCTCTTATCTGTACTAACCATGGAGATATTTTGCCACAATTTCCTATTCAAACTTTTTCTTGCCTTTTCTGACTTTGCCCAACTTTTCCTTGCCAACTTCTGGATCTAGCCTTTGGCAGCTGTTAAGCATTATAAAAATTTCCAGCCAGGTGGTGGCGGCACACCTTTAATTCCAGCGCTTAGGAGGCAGGTGGATCTCTGTGAGTTCAAGGCCAGCCTGGTCTACAAAGGAAAGTTCCAGAACAGCAAGGGCTACACAACAAAAACCTGTTTCCAAAAATAAAAAAAATCAAGAGGAATCTTCCAAGACTTTTATTGGCTTATTGTTTTTATATTATTTTATATATTTATGTTATTTATATGTATAACATATTTACATAGTATTTTTGTAGTATTTTTTCAATGTTTTATTTCTTTTTGGCATTGGATGCCAAACCCGGGAACATACATAGTGGGCAAGCTGTGTGCCACAGAGACACATCTCCAGGCTTGAATAATTTGTTTTTTTTTAAATCCGTCTACCTTCCCTACCCCAAATTCTCGAATCTTCTTTTAACTACATGTCTTCAACACTTTTAGTTTTTAATTATTCCTTTAGTGGGGTTTGTTTGTGGCCCATCTCTCAAGGACAGCTGACATGAAGGCCTGTTTATTCTAACTCTCCAACGTTTCCCCCAGGGTGTCCTAAGCCAACTGAATGGATACAAACATTTTAGAAATATCCTGATGTCCCCAGGTTCCCGCTACTGTTCTACTGAGAAAGCTTTTGTCAGTCAACTAAGTCTGTCTTTGGTTTTTGTTTTGTTTTTAACATGGTGATACATTATATTTTTAGGTAATCTATTTGGCACTTTTTCAGGTATTTTTAACATTTTGGGTTCTCTTCCACCTCAGCTACAGTATTAATGTTCCCTTTAATCAATGCTCGTTTCATGCCGATGATATTGATCTTCGTTGTTTTATTAAAATGCTTTTATAACTGGCAAAAATTTTAGATATGCATATTGTAGGTATCAGATTGGATTCCTGAACCCACATCAAGGTGGAGAGACGAACGTGGGGCGGGGGGAAGCACTTCTGGTGGCCAGGCTTCTGCAGCAAGCACCTTGGCCAGCTGGGCCAACACACCAGCCTCTGTCACCACGTCACTGAGAACGTTAATGTCCAGTATCAAAAAATTCCAAGTGCTTTTATTTCTTGGTCATTTGAATTTCTTCCTCTGAGAGTTGCTTGTCCTCCAACATTCATGTGCATAAATAACAAACATAAAGAGAGTAATGTCTGGGCTGGAGAGACGGCTCAGCGGTCAAGGGCATTGGCTGCTCTTCCAGAGGAGCCGGGTTCAGTTCCTGGAACCCACATGGCAGCTCACAGCTGTCTGTGGCTCCAGTTCCAGGGGATCTGATGCCCTCACACAGACACACACACACACACAGGCAAGGCACTGATGCACATAGAATAAAAATAAATAAATAAAAGAGCAGTGCTTTGATTTTTAGTCAATGAATTTTTCTAGATATTTTATTTTACTATTAGTAAATAATCATACCATGACCGGTTTGGTTTAAATCTTTTACACTACTGATTGAGACAGTTTTCAAAATGCCGATACACTGATTTTGTTTGTCTTTTTGTTGTTGTTGTTGTTGTTACTGAAGAAATACACTAAAATTGTCCTGCCATAGTGGCAAATCAGATAACTTGAGCCCAGTGACTCTCGACCTTCCTAACGCTGCGAGCCTTTAATATAGTTCCTCATGTTGTGCTGACCCCCAACCATACAATTATTTTCATTGCTACTTCATTACTGTAACTTTGCTTTTGTTATGAATCATACCATAAATATCTGTGTTTTCCGATGGTCTTAGGTGATCCCCGTGAAAGGGTCATTCAGTTTCCAAAGGGCTCACAACCCACATGTTGGGAACTATGCTTTAGAACATTCCAATCAGTAAAGCTAAAATCAGATCGCCTGGGGGACTCCCAACCCACAACTTGGAATACTAATCTCCTGAAGTGACTAGGGCTCTGAAGCAAGACAGCCACAGGCTCCTCATGTTCCCTCGTTCTCGGGAGGGGGAATGAGAGCATCGGCCACCAGCCTTTCCTTCAGTGACTTCTTTTTAACTGCTCAACAGAAAAACAACATGACCTTTGCCTGAAGCAACCACTTCAAGCTAACCCAGCGCAACCCTCAGAGTACGGCCCCCAGTGCCCACATCAATGCCTCTTCTGCCCAGCACTCCTCCCCAGTCCAGTTCCTCACTCAGTTCTCTGATACTATCCTTGCCTTGTGATGATGGACATTGTTCCGGAAACTCAAATACTGCACTCACTACATGGAGAGGAGTTTAGAGGAGCGTCTGCAGTCCATTCATCACCAGCTTGCTGAGGGGACTCATGTAGGCTCAACCACCATTTGTGCCTATTTATTCTCCTTTACTATTTTTGTTTGTTCATTTTTCAAGACAGGGTTTCTCCATGTAACAGCCCTGGCCGTCCTAGAACTCACCCTGTAGACCAGGCTAGCCTGGAACTCAGAGATCCACCTGCCTCTGCCTCCCAAGTGCTGGGATCAAAGGTGCACACCGCCACAGCCCAGCCTCCTTTATTATCTTTTAAATGATTTATTTATTGCTATCTTCTGTCTATAAATACTTTGCCTGGATGTAGTGCAACATGTCCAGGTTGTGCTTAGGGGCCCAGAAGAGAGAGTTGGATCTCTTGAAACTGGAGTTAAAAATGGTTGTGAACCTCCACATGGGTGCTGGGAATTGAACCTGGGTCTTCTGTGACAGTAGCTGAGTCATCTCTCCAGCTCCTCTGCTATTTTTAACAGGACACTTGAGCTGTCCAGATTTATGAGTATAACAAGAATAAGGGGTTGGCAGATGAGGATGTGTAGTCCACGGCTTCGAGCGCAGTTTGTCCTTC